GCTTGGACGAGTCCTTGCAGTTTTCAAGGCAACTGTTTTCGGAAGTGGTTTGCCAGAGCCTAGTGATTGTAATTGTTGACAGGTTGGGGAGTGTTTTTTTTAAAATTATTTTTACTATTGTTTTGTGAGCCACCCAAAATTGTGGCACATAAGATGGATGGCTGTATACAGTTTTTAATAAAAATAAATAAATAATTATAGTTTCAGCTAGATATGTGTTAGGTTTTTGAAGAAGCATGGAATATTGTAACTTGTCTGGTAGTATCAATCCTGACTTCCTCAGGGTGCTCATGGTGCAGACAGAGATGAAAGTATTGAAAGCAGGTCCCTTATGTTCTGCAGTGGTACATGGAACTGATCTGGAATTAAACAGGGGAAAGCTCTTCTCTTTTGAGGACCCATTTTCTGGGGCTTGATCATGGTTCCATATGGTAAAACTGAAGTGCTTAAGACTGGAACAAAATAGATGGGACATCTCTTTCTCTCTTTCTGGTCCTCCCACTCTCTGCCGTAAATTGTAGAACTCTTTACCAGAATTCTGGATTGATCCCTTCCAGGGGGCTTTTATGAGTAGATTACAGAGCATATCTGGCCCTAGGGTTGCAGGTTCTTCAACCTTGTTCTATGGGCCTTTGGTAGCTGTATTCTGTCCTAGCTATTTCAAAGATCTCAAGGGATACAGTCTACAGTAGAGAAACTTACTGGAAGGACTGGGTTTTGTTTAATGTGGGCTTGCAAAAGACAAGGCAAAGAAGAATATCAGGACCTTGGACAGGTCCTGCCATACTATACTGTAGTGGTAAATGCTGGCTGGACCTTACCCAGGAAGAGCTGTTGTTTCAGCAACTTTCTGAGATCTTCCAGAAGGATTGGCTGGATTAGATTAGCTGTTAAATCAATTTCTTGAAAGACCATAGGCCAGTTCTTCAGTTGTGGAATGGATTGAGCAGTACCCTTCATATTGCAGAAAGCTGGTAGAACGTGCTGCTGGGCCAGTTTAAAATTGACAACCGTGCATGGAAATGTTTTGCAGCCCTGTCTTGGTTCCACTAATATTTTCCTTCATCCACAAATGTGTTCAGAACAAGATGGCATGACATTAAGTATAATTTATATCACAATATTGACAGGGGGAAGACCTTACTTTTTTTTTTTTTTTTTGATGAGCGGTTCCTAACTCGTGATGCATTCAGACTTGTCACCTCACCTACATACTGAGGAGTGTAATATTATCATCCGTCAACTCCAAAAGTGCCACAAGGAGGTAAGACTCTGACAGAATCCAGAATGCTGCTGTATCTCCACAGATAATAGGTTTATCTTGTGATCTTGTTCTTAGACATGAGAGACTTTTGTTGGTAATACCATATTATAGCTAAATTTCCCTCAGAGAATTCTGTCTCTCCTTTGCTCCCTCAAGAGCACAAAGAATGTCGCTAGGAATGTCTTTAGAACAAGGGTTGGGTTTTATTCATTGCCCTCATTAGAAACCAGAATGCTTAGGGGCTAAACCAGCTCCACTATGCAAGGAAAATTTACACTGTCCTGAAATGAAGGTGGGTAGGGTGGCATAAGTAGAAGTCTATAAAATCATGCCTGGTTTGAAAATATGGTAAAATAAAGTTTTTTTCTCTCTCTCACAGTGTAAGAATTTGGGTTTACTTATTGAAACCTTGTGCAGGAAAATTAAAGCCTGTTAAAAGAAGAGCTTATTTAGGTAGCACATATTTAAAGCACAGGAATTGGCTGCCACCAGATATGATAGTTTCCATTTAAGGGACTGAACATATTCATACAGGGTTACTGGGCTGTCAGTAATTGGTCCTGATGGCTGTTTACTATGTCTTTAATCACAGGAAGCATGCTTTAAATTCCAGCTGTTCTGGAACAACAGTGGCAGAAGATAGTTATTCTCCTCTCCATCTTTGTGAGCTCTTCTAGCTGACCATTCTGTGACACAGAATGCAGAATTGGATGGGCTGTTGGCCTGATCCACCAGAACTGTTAAATTACTCAGGGAGCAGCCTACCTCATCCCAGCTCCCCCATCTTCCAGCCATTCTTGGAAGATTGTGCAGCACTGTGAGTGAATGAGTTTGGAATGCTCAGAGATGTTATAAAGTATGCACTGATTGTGAAGCTATAAGTTGGATATTTTCTGCAGAAGAAGAATTAATTGACCCATCCTTTCTCTTTGAATATCTAGAAGTATCAGCTTGGGAAGAGACTTGAATCACCTATCTGCCATTGTGCTGCACTTCAAACGAGGCCTCTTTTCAAGCTGAGATTTTTGTTTTAAAAAAAAGTACAAGGAAAATAAATTAAGTGAAAAGAAAGGGAAAGAACATTTAAACAATTATTAGCAGTATTCATTGATCAAATACTGAATTATTGTAATTTACGATTAAAAACCTACAAGTCGTTCTGTTGCAAAACCTGAAGGGCAGCTATGTGTGTGGTGTGTGTGTGTGTGTGTGTGTGTGTGTGAGAGAGAGAGAGAGAGAGAGAGAGAATAGCCAACGAAGTCTCTTTCCAAATCAAGATCAAGGCATGGATCATATCTGTTTGAACGTTCATCTATATACTCTTTTCCTTATAAAAACAATCTGTGGAAGGAACTCACTAAAAATAGCATTCATTCATTCATTCATTCATTCATTCATTCATTCATTCATTCATTCATTCATTCTGACAAATAGCAACTTTGGTATGGGGAAGAGTGGATTTTCATCATTAGAATGATGGAGTGGTGATGGGAATGGTGGCTTAAAATATATGTGCCTATCTTTGTTCACACACATATCTTCCATTATTTAATTAAAGATAAACAAATGTAATATATATTTAACATCTTGTCTTCTCTGGCCTTAAGTTTAACAATGGATTTTTAAAAAGTTTTTTTTGCAAGATTCCTTTTTATATTCCATTGCTATTTAAATTGAATTAGAATTACTGAACTCAATTTTTGGGTGCTCAATTGTCTTACGTTAAATAAAAATTTCAGCATTATTTTTTGTGCAACAGAGCTGAATTAGATTCGTGACATCAACATGTCATAAATATAATTGAAGAGTGTATATCCTGTTACTAAAATAACAGCTGATGGCAATACTGATCACGATGGAGGAAGAATTCCACCTTCCTTGCCTTCAGCCTCTTTGAGGTTATGATTCATATCACAGAGGAAGCCTCTCCAATTCCCATACTTGTCACAAATGGGTAGCAATTTAGGATTGAGAATCCCATGCTCCACTGAAGCTGGAGTAACCTGTCTACTACTTTTTGTTAAGGCCTCTTTAGCTACTGCGACAAAGACACGAGCATGAATCTCACCCCAATTTATTCAAATGTCTTCTTGTTCTTCTACCAGGATCTTTACACTATTTCATGTATACATCCCAGGGTGATTTCCTACTTTAGACCAATTTGATGTATTCAAGTTGTATCTCCATGGTCATCTGACCTAAGGGATGAGCTGGTGAGGCAAGGCACCCCAAATACCCTGGAAGAGCTGTATCAGCATGGTGTAGTAATAGATGCTCAACTGGAAGAGTTAACACAGGGATGGAATGATAAGGGGAAAAGAATCTACAGTCTGTCTTCCCTCATACCACCCATCCCAATGGTCTGAACTGGTCAATCAGGGCTAAGTCATTCCACCCTACATCACCAGCAAGTAATTTAAAGTCTGAAATATATGACCTTATTCTCCTTTGAGAATAAGCTTGAGCTTGAGCTTCTGGATCTTTCGACTAGCAGTGATTCTCTGTATGGGATCCCTGAAGTGTCCCTTGAGTTTACACATGAAGTCCTGATAGTTGTCCAGCACCAGATCGTTCCCCTCAATGAATGATATTGCCCACTTAGCTGTTGCTTCCTTCAGCAAATTCAGCACAAACGTCACTTTGGTGCGATCAGTGGGAAACTCCACCGGCCTGCCTGCCATAACCGTTCCACACTGAGTAGTGAATGTCCGGAATTGATCCTGGTCCCCTCTGAACTTCTCCGGCAAGCTTCTGTGGAACGCAGGAGCATTGGCTGAGCCACCATCTGTTGTGCTGTCTCAGCTGTTGTGTTAGTTGTATCATGGCATTCTGCAAATTGGTAATCTGTGCATCCACTTGCTGCTGGTGTTGCAATGATGCTGCTGCCAGATGCTCGCCGGATAGCGAAGTTCCTTGAGGATCAGAGGCCATTCCTGAAATTCCTCTTTGGAAGAGAGTATGAGACTGGCAACTGTGATATCAGCCTTACCAGGTAGACCAGGAAACACGACCAGATGAGCTACTTCTACTTTATTGTAAGGCTACATTAACAAAATCTTGCAAGCGTGAAAGTACAATTCTCCCATCCACTCCTTTACCCCCAAGAAATTAGGGAGGGTCTCTTCTGAGCTTCTTGCCCTGCCCACTATCCACCTGTGGGCTATGCTGTCTCTTATCTGTTTCCTAGGCAGTATCTCTGGGCCCAGTCTCCCAAGGTCGTTCCCACATACCATTACAGTATTTTTCCACAAATTAAGTTTTTACAACGACAGTTATTTCTGTTAACAATAAGAGAAATGGAAATAAAAATGAACTATGTAAAGCAAAAAAACTGAGTTTGCAAATAAGCCAGGGAAAGGGTTGACATATAAATTACAAAAAAAAAATGATGTTGAAACTACATGAGGGAGATACTGTATTAATGGATAGTGTGGCCTTGCAAGAAGCAGTTCATCAATATTGTTCTAACTTGTATAAAGCAAGTGACAGCTCTCTGGAGAAAATAGATGAACACCTAAAGAAACAAAATTTACCAAGGATTACAGAGGAACAGAAACAGATTATGAATGGACCTATAACAATAAGGGAAGTTTCTGGAGCTATAAAAAAGATTAAACCAGGAAACAAACTGCCCGGACCTGATGGACTATCAGGTTCTTATTATAAACGTTTTGAGGAAAAACAAATTATCAAGATGGCTAAACAATTAATTGTCTTTCAATAATAACAATCACAAGAAATTTGACAACACTTCTGGAAGTCTTTGCTGAACTGCCAGCTAACAGGAAACAAGTGAGCTCCTTGTCCAGTCTTGGCTGATTATGAGTCAGGAGTTATTAATTCAATGTCACATAAAAAGGGCATCACAAGAGGACACGTGAAACTGTTTCTGTTTCCCCTAAGGGGCATGGGCAAAATTGTTCTTAGACTGGAACATTGAGAAATCTTTCTTCTAAAAGGGAGGAAAATTTGCCTTTCTGTAACTTAAACCTGTTATTCTGAATCCTGCACTGTGTGGCAGTAGAGGATTGCAGCCTCTGTGTGTGTGTGTGTGTGTGTGTGTGTAATACACTGCAATTGTTTGGAGAGGGTTGTATCTGCTTTCAGTTTTTCTTCTCAAATCTAAATATGCCCAATTTTCTCCCTCCCTCCCTCCCCATATATTTTATTGTTAAAATATTGAAATACAAAGAAAGTAGGGGGAAAAAAACCAAGATAAAAAAGACAACTACATTTAAATTTTAAAAACACAGTAAAAAAATATACTACTTTTTACTGATACATCCTTCCCTTCCCTTCCCTTCCATTTGTATCCCCAGGTGATAGCCACAGTTTAGATATTTGAACATTGCCTCAAACATTAGTAATGGTTGCTATTTGAGTCCTAATAGACCCAATTTTCTTAATCTGTCATTGTAGGACTTTCTTTTCAATCCCTTGAAAATCCATGAGAAACATGGTTTGGCTAACATGGGGAAGAGTGAAGATTCAGATCTTCCCATTTCTTTTCTCCATAATTCAAGCAGATTGTCCATCCTGCTAAGAGGATACCTATGCTCCTGCCTCAGAATATGAAGGAATGAAGCAATCCTGTTCCATTTGATACTAAAGTGATGTCAAGCTTCACATCAGGACTCAGTAGTAAATCACAACTCTCCAGACCAGTGTTTCTCAACCTTAGCAACTTTAAGCTGGGTAGACTTCAACTTCCAGAATTCCCCAGCCAGCCATACTGGCTGGGGAATTCTGGA